GCTTGTGCCTCCCTGCCACAAGTTATCTGGGTCTTCCCCAGGCTAGACCCACGCCCTGAGGGGCGCCCCCAGCAACAGGTGCAGCGCGGCTGTTAGAATTCAAGCATCACGGAAATTAGCTTCCTGTCACAATGACAAAGTACACATTACAGTGGAAATTCTGGTACTCCCTAGAAAAGTTCTTAATTTTTTTGTAGAAAGGAATGTAAATGTATTAATCAGTAAATTCAAACACTCTATTACATGCCCAGTGTTGTTAAGTGGACATACTTAAAGTTTGGCTGACTAAAGTTGAGCATACTTCATAAAGAAGACATTTATGAGAAATGGGTGAACGGCAGGATTTCATTATGATAGTGAAGTAGACCTTAAGTTAGTTGTTCATCAAGGTAAGTCTTAGTTTGTCTCCAATGAAGTCAAGTAGAGATACTACTTGGAGTGAAAACGCCACCTAAAATACTTTAATCTCACAATAGTTATGAATTTGTTTGATTTATAATCTTAATATTTACTTGATAAAATAATAATCTTATGTGTGTTTCTTAACTTAAAACAGACACACCAATTATTTGGGCCTCCCCAAGGCTAGAACTACTCACTGAAGGGCTTCTCCCAGCATTCAAGAGAAAGGCCACTGGGTCTATGAACTAAAACCAAAATTTCACAAAAAAATTTTTTAATACTGGTATTTGGGTAGAGGACCTGTACCTATAGGCTAATCATGACATATATGGTTTTACTGTCAATGACAATTTTGCCTAAATCAATAAATATTTATGCAGACCCAACATATGCAAAAACTTGTTAAATGAGCTGCCCCCTTCTTATTTCTATTTCCCATTGAAAAGTAAAAGAGAAAAGACTAAATAAAATAAAATTACTGAAAAAGAGAAATCTTTTTTAAAGGCAACAGGGAAAACAAACACTATCCAGAAGCACCAGCAGGGCAAGTGTCTCTGTAACAGAGAACAAGAGGACATCTTGCCAGGTGCCAAGTTGGAGGGGTCATCCAGGAAGGGCTTCTTTTTATTTTTTTAAATATATTTTTATTGATTTCAGAGAGGGAGAGGGAGAGAGAGAAACATCAATGATGAGAATCACTGATTGGCTGCCTCCTGCATGCTCCACTGTGGGAATCGAGCCTGAAACCTGGGCACATGTCCTGACTGGGAACTGAACCCTGACCTCTTGGTTGCTAGGTCCACGCTCAGCCACTGCGCCATGCTGTGGGGCTGGGGAGTGTTGATTTCTTATTTTATTTTATTTTAGCCATGCTGATGAGTGTAGAGTGGTATCTCATTGTTAATATTACCTAATGACTAATGATGATGCTGAGTACCTTTTCCTGTGTACTAGTCATTCATAAATTTTCTCTGGTGAAGTGGTGGTATTTGAGTCATCTTTAAAAACTGAGTTCTCTTATCTTTGAGTAGTGTACAATAACAAAAAAATGTCTATATTGGCCACTGCCCCAATACCTAACACAGAGCTTTCAAAACCCTTGTAAGGGGGGCGGCTGGGAGAATCTTTGGTTCTAATCTTTAGTCTTTGGCCTGGGTTCCTGACACAGAGCTCCTAAGACTTTTGTAATTCCCTAGGTGACAGGAACATCTGACACTGAGCTCCTAAATCCTTTGGAATTCCTTGGTGACAGGGACATCATTTGTTCTGAGGAGACTCTGGGTGGGCTCCTGGTTACCAGAAAGAGCATGATTAGAAGCTTGGAACTGTCAGTGCAGACCCTCAGTCTCTGGAGAGGGCAGGGGCTAAGCAACAGTGCCAACGTGATAAAGCTTGCATAGAAACCCCAGTAGTACAGGGTTCGGGGAGCTTCTGGGTGGGTGAGCATATCCATGTGCCAGGAGGGTGGTGCACCGCTACACAGGGACAGAGGCTCTTGTGCTAAGGACCCTTGTAGACCTCACCCTATTTATCTCCTCATCCAGCAGTTCATGTGTGTCCTTTATTACATCCTCTATCTTCTACAATAATAAAAGCATAATATGCTAATTAGACCAGATGTCCTTCTGGATGTCCTTCCTTCCGGACAAAGCCACAGTGGGTGGGGGCTTGGGTAGAGGCAGCTGCTGCGGTGGCAGGGGCCAAGGCCCTTGCATAATTTTGTGCATTGGGCCCCTAGTCCTATATAATAAAAGCGTAGTATGCAAATTGCCCCCTTGACTGAGAGGTGTCTGGGATTTCAACCAGGGGCCAGGACCAGCTGGGGGAAGCTGGCAGCCACTAGGGACCCTACCAGTGCACGAATTTCATGCACTGAGCCTCTAGTTATACAATAGACCAGTAAACAGAAGTGTTCCCCTGAGTTCTGAGAGCTGTTCTAGCAAATGGTTTAATCCCAGGAGGATCATGCAAAACTAAAATTGTAGTTAAACTGGACAGAAGTTATGGGTAACCTGGTGTGATATTGCGATTTATAAGAAATATACATTTGGTCTACTTCCACCGTTCCTGGCACAGAACTCCCAAAGCCTTTTGATTTCCTATATACAACCACAGGGGCATCTTTTGTTACATTACATGGCCTGTGCCACCAGTTCCTGAAATAGCTCCGGAGCCCTAAAGAAAAAAAGGAGTGTCTTGCTATGCACGACTAGCCTCTTTTCAACCACACCTGAGTGTATGTCAATGAGGTAACTTTTGAAAATCCCTAAAGATGGGGGGCTGTCAAAGGAACCCACCGTAATTAGATAATTACAACTTTTAATCCCACTGCTTCACTCTGACCTGCAAAGAGGGAGGGGCTGGAGGTTGAATCAATCCCAGTGGCCACCCAGCTGGCGTGGCTCAGGGGTTAAGCATCAACCCACGAACCAGAAGGCTACGGTTCGATTCCCTGTCAGGGCTCATGCCCGGGTTGCAGGCTCGATCCCCAGTATGGGGCGTGCAGGAGGCAGCTGATCAAATGATTCACTCTCTCATTGATGTTTCTCTCTCTCCCTCTCTGAAATGAATAAAAATTTTTTTTAAAAAAAATCAGTGGCCCATGATTTCATTAGCTGTGCTTAAGAAACAGCGCCTCCATAAAAACCCCACAGGAGGGGTTCAAAGTTCTCAGGCTGAACACCTAGAGATGGTGGGAGAGTAGCCCAGAGGTCATGAAAGCTGAGGCGCTTCCTGCATACCTCGCACTACGCATGTCTTCCATCTGGCGGTTCCCGAGTTCCATCCCTTTATAACAAACCAGTGATTCAGTAAGTAAAATGTTTCTCCGAGTTCTATGAGTTGCTCTAGCAAATGCATCAAATCCTGATGGGGGAAGTGGGCATGTCTGATCTACAGCCATCCAGCAGCCCGGGGAACCACAGGGGCTGCCTCCTAGGACTGAGTCCTTCACCTGTGGGATCTGACATTATTTTCCAGAAGACAGTGTCAGAATTGAGTTCAACTGTAGGACATCTGGAAACCATCTCAGTATTCGGGGGATTGCAGACTTGCTTGGTGGTAGAAAAAACAAGCATCATTCCTCGGGACTATTACTTGTGATTGGTGAAGTGGGAAGCAGTCTTGTGGGGCTGAGCCTTAACCTGTGCAGTTGAACTGTAGGATGCTCAGCTGCTGGGGGGAAAACCCCACACATCTGGTGTCAGAGAATGTGGCTGTAATGTGAGAGTAGAGAAAAGGGAGCTTTCCCTCTGAGCAGAACTTACTGGTAAGTCTTCAGATGCAAATCCTTTGTCATTTTGAACATTTTCTCACAGAAGTTATTTCCGTGTTCTGATCAACTTTTACTGTATGGACAGCCTGTAACAGACTGCCCACTGGAAACCATGTATTTGAGTGCCTTTCAGACTTAATCAGAAGATGAATGCCAAAGTCCTTTCTTCTTTCAGTGAGAACATTTAAGTCTATTCTCTTAGCAGATTTCAATTATATAATACAATGCTATCTATAATAATAAAAGTGTAATATGCTAATTAGACCAGACATCCTTCTGGATGAAGCTGGGGCTGCGTGGGAATCCTGGGTCCCGGAGGGAAGCAGGTGTCAGCAACCAGGGGAAGGGAGGCCTACTCTTGCACGAATTTTGTGCATCAGGCCTCTAGTTAACTATAATCATGTTACCCATTAGATCCTCAGACCTTATTCATTTTGTAACTAAAACGAAGTTTTACCCACCTTTCCATATTTCCCCTACTCCGTAGTTCCTGGCAATCACTTTTCTACTGTTTCTACGCATTTGACTTCTAAGATACCACACGTAAGTGACACTACTTAGTACTTTCTGTCTCTGACTTCTCTCGCTTGGCATGTCAAGGTCCACCCAGGTTGTTGCAAATGGTAGGACTTCCTTTCCTCATAGCTGCATATGTACACCTCTTTATCCATTCATCTGTGGATGGACACTCAAGTTGTTTCCACATCTTGGTATTGTGAATGACGCTGCTATGAACACAGGAGTGCAGGCATCTCGAGAGCCTGTTTCATTTCCTCCGAATCGTGGTCCTTTCTTGATATGAGTAAAACAGACAAATGAACACGGATCCGGACTATCAACACAATTTATGTTTTGCAAAGCTTTAGTTCCAGTGGCCAGGCTTGTTTTCCGATGGTCTCTGACTGCTGGATAAAGAATGTGGGTGCCCCTTTTTCCTGGTTCCTGAAAGGTAGCCTTTAAATCTTGGAATTTCCCAGTGATAAGTCTATTATTTGGGAACCTCCCAAACCTGTAAGCAGCTAAGAAGTGAGGATAGCCCTGGGGATTCCCAGGCTTGCAGCGGTGTGTGAAATGAGGGCGGTTTTGTGGAGGACCAGGTCCTTCACCTTTGAAGTTGGGCGTAACTTAAGGCAGCTAGTGTCAGGTCTCCTGTATTCACTGCCACTTGTTTGCCTGACCTACTTTCTCTTATCTCAAAGCTCTTTGATTCAACAGTTGTGACTATTTTGAGAGGAAACCTATTTTGCATTATAACATCTATGTAAAAAGCATTGTAATTGTGGATAACAGTAATTATTTGTGAAGAACTCAGATACCAGATACATTTTTATCCAACAAGCTTTTATTAAGTATGTTGCACAGGTACATTCTAGTCGACAGGACACAGAGATAAGACAGTTCTTGCCGCCAGGGAGCTTCCAGTCTAGGGAAGACTCGGACCAACGTGGACAGTAGAAATGCTTGGTGCCATGGAAGGAACAGGAAACAGGAATGTCACCGCCAGGTGAGTGGATGAGGAAGAGAAGCAGGGCCTGGAAGAAGTGACATTGGACTGAAGTGTGAGAGCGGGAGAGGTGGTATGGAGGTTGGGGGGGAGTGTGGGCGGCCTCGGTCCCGACTGCAGGTGAGTGGCACGCGCAGAGGTCAGAGTTGCAGTTAGAGAAACACCGGCCAGAACACCAGAGGCCTTACACACACGATGACAAGAAGTCTGGATTCTATGTCCCAGGTGCTGGGAAGCACTGAAGGATTTCCAGCTAATAAAGTGTTTCGGAAAAAAATATTTAGAGCAGTGTTACAATAGATTATATGTCCCCGGAGCCTGGAATGAGTTTTAGGAAGTGATGAGGTAATTCTGGAGGAAAACAGGAGGCCTTGAATGAGGAATTAGAACCAAGCGACATATGTACCTGAGGGGCCAGCACCAGTGAGGCTGAGGGCTCGGTGCGGCTGTGCGCTCCTCAATGCAGGCGACTGGGGAAGAAAGCATGTCTGGTGGGAAGAGGTTCAGTTCTTAGTGGAGCACTAAGAGCAGCAGGCCTGCGGTTCAATAGCTGGGTTGGCAGCTCAGGAAAAAAAATTGCAAGTGAAAAAAACATACATGAATGCCACGAATTCAAGAAAATTTTATTAGAAAGTACGTATGAGCTTAAAAACAGAGGCTGACCCTTCTAGATAAAGGATAGTAAAACCACAAAGATCCATTCCATTAAAAATGAAATCTAAAATGTTTAGAAATGTAAGATAACAAACAGGGTCCTGAGGCCGATTCCGGCCCCTACAGCAGTCCTCCTACGTCACAGCTGTGGGGGCTCTCTCAGCTTCTGAACTCTCAGGTGGAGCAAGATCAGCCAGGTGACTTTTTAAAGAAGCAAAACTGAGGATCACTCTTGAATTTCTGCTTGTCTCTCCACTGTGTAAATTGGCTACTCCTGATCTTTTGGGGGGACCACCTTGTTTATTTGCAACATTTCCTGTGCTTCCTCTTACAGGAGCTGGGTGTCGGGGCACAGCTCAGGCCACAGGTACTGAAGCATCAAGAGTGGAGAACACTGACTTAAAAATCAGATATAAAGAGGAGACGATCCCCTGGAAGGACCTCAATCCTAATGGTACAACCAGTGGGATGGTATCAGGATTCATAAAAGCCGTCAGGCACCGAGGTCCCAGGACACAGATCTCCTAGGAACACTTCCTCAGGGGCCACGGGTAGGTTGTTGCCAAGTGCAGTTGACTTGACTCTGGCCAGGTACAGAGAGGGGCTGCATGATTCATACACTGGTTGTTCTCCACAGCAAGTCCAAACCAGGGAAAAAAGGAGGTGCAGCCCCCCTAACAGCAGAAAACCCTTTCCCTGGCCAGAGCCCCAGGCTACATCCATTCAGAGAACAGGAAGTTAGGAAAGCCATAACTTTAACAGTGACCGTGGAGCCACAGGAGTGGATAAGACCTCCTAGGCTCTCACTGAGTTGTACTGGAAACAGCTAGATGGGCAAAACTCAGAGGAAGGGGGTGCTGACCATTAAGTCGGGTACACTCTAATACGCAGACGGGAAAAGCCAGCAGGGAGGAGTAGGCAGAACTATGGAAGAGGATATAGATGAGACACGTTCTCTGTGAAAGAGGGAGAAGAGATGCACTGCAATCCAGAGAAAGGTAAGGAGTCATGCTCATCACACAAGATGAGGAACCCTGTATTCCCTGAAAAAACCACATCAGTAGGGGGAGACTAGAGACAACACTGAAGTTCAACTCCTAGCTAGTCATGTGTCCAAGGTAGACTATTCCCAGGGACAAAAGCAAACCAACAATATCGGTAACATGAGATTCAAGCAGGGGCACAGCAGTGAACAAGGGTCACTGGCCACCACGTCCAGCTGAGCCGGTCGCCTGGCGTCCCTGTGAGTGGCACTTCCTGCGGCCGTGCAGTGCACAGTCGGTTCCCTGCACTCAGTCGCCTGGCAGTTCCCACAGGGGAGGACCTAGCTTTTTTGGGCTCTGGCTTTGCAAAAGGGATGAGACCTTCGGTATAAACATCAAAACTGAAAATGTAGACTGCAGTAGAGGGATGAGCCTAGGACTGAGAGCTGGCCAAATGTATCCACACATCACACGGAACTTTTCCCGCTGGTAAGGAATGGCAGCCAGACGGCAGCCCAGCCAGTGCCTTTAATGCACAGAGACCATATGAAAACATCAGCCCAGGAAGCAGGGTTCAGAACGGGAACTTGTCTATGAAGCTCAGAGGGTTCCATTAGTGAATGTGCTGGGTGGAAGATCGACATTTCCCTATGTCTTCCCAGAGTCCAGTAATTATACTCACTTACCTATTTGGATGTAATGCTCATCAAGTATCTTCAAACTGGCAGCTAAGAGAAGGAATGCCCTAAGTAGAATACTCATTCTTTGTCTCTCCCCAACACCAGTACAGCTGACAAAATGGCAGCCAGCTCTGTGTCTCAGAAACCGGGAGACGTAGTTAGGATCAGTCCACACTCAGAAACATGTCTGGGCAGCCTGAAGGGTCCTGTCAGCACATCTGGAGGCTGAAGTCCATCCGCAAGGCTGTCCATCTGCACCGAGTTAGGATCCCTGGACAACACCCTACCAACAGTCCCCCCAAAACCACGACACACATCAACTGTGGTTATCTGGGCCCATCAAGCATCCAGAAAGAGGTTCCATGTGTTACCTGGATATTATAAAAAGAGCAGAATTAGAACGAGCTATTAGAGCAGTGTCGAGCATATCAACCTCATTCCCCTCTTCCCGCTGTGCAGCTGGTCCATGTGTACAGCAGGCGTCACTATGGTCAGGTCACCCCAGGGAGCACAGCCATGAATGCTGCATTCCCCTCTCGGTGTCATCTTTAGAGGGTGGAGATGGTAACTTGTGCTTCTCCCTGGCCCCGAGAGAACAGAACACACGGCCCTATGCATGACACTCGGAACATGTTTTTTGGACTGAAAGGCACGGTAAGAGCCAGTCAGTTATTACAGGTCTTCAAATTAGTTGTGCTAGGACTTAGGCTAAATCTCTGCAAGTGGTGAACACTGCCAAATGTGCAAGGATCTCGAAAAAATGTGATCCTCATGAAAAAAAAGGAAGTCTAGCTCTCAGGAGGCTTTGGGAGAGGGATGTAAAAGGACTGCCAATGACTCGCAGAAATGAGTAATAATCTCAACTCTCTCCATGCCTCGCCAGTCATGTGTCCAGCTGGTTACAACAGGGAAGAAAAATCCCACATCTCCTTTCAGTTTTGTAGGAATTTCGCCCTGAAGTGGAGTTTACGTTTACAGCAATTAAATGTTAGCACAGCCCTGGAAAGACTAAGTGAGACATGTCCTGGATCCATTTCTTTGTGATTTTATGCGTGATTACACTGAATGCAGATTACTGTTAACTTGATCTGAATTTATTTTCCTGACATCTGACATAAACTTCTAAGAGTAAGAAATATCAGCTTTTAATCAATCCCTGTGCGCCCCTCCAATTTAACTGTGTTCATGGTCATGCACATTGATTTATACAGTCAACACATCTCAACTCGATTTCGCCATTGAGAACATTCTAGACTGAGTGTCACCTCACGCATGATCACTAATCGTGTTCTCAATCACCTCCCTGGCCTTGCCTCTCCCCTCGGGTCCACTAAGTGCATCCCAACTGGACGGCTCTTGTTAGGCCGCATGTTCACCAAGTCGTTCTACAATCATTCACGTGGCACCTGTTATGAGCAAACCACGAACACAGGTGTACAGAGACCATGCAGACACACAAAACACGGCCCTCTGCCTTGAAATCTAGCCTAACTAGAGAAATAACATGCAAGACTAATAAGATATTATAGGGAATCAAAAGAGCAAGGGAAGAAACTGCAGCTTAGGTAAGGGGGGAGGGCACCCCAGACCAGGGGCTCCTAAGTTAGCATTTAAAGGGTAAGATTCCTGGGGGATAAAGTAGGGAAGGAGCAGCCCAGGAAGAGACACAGCTCCTAGCAATGAGTGGCCGTGAAAATCAAGACAAACTGACCAGACAAACTGACCAGAAGCAAGATGCAATGCAGACAATGCCAAATAACTGAAGACAGGCGAGGATCTCCGCACATGCTGCCAGAGAAGACCGCCCTTTGAAAGAGCCATTTCAGCATGCGATGGTATGGCATGAACCATTCGTTTAAAGCAGAAATAAATAAATAAATAGATAGATAGATAGATAGATAGATAAATAAATAAATAAATAAAAACCAAGTAGCATGCGGTTCAGAGTAGCTATTCCAGCAGGAGCACACCTGGTGAACAAGTCACTGGGCCACCACGTCCAGCTGAGGAGGTCGCCTGGCGTCCACGCGATGGCACTTCCTGAGACCGGTGCGCAACCCGGTCAACTGCACTCAGTGACCCTGACAGTTCCCACAGGGAGGGACCTAGCTTCCTGGGGGTTGTTTTGCAAAAGGGAACTCAAAAGGGACCAAAGGCAAGAAATCAAGTCTCTCTGCAGACTACAATCAGTTGTCTGGTCCAACCTCTTGAAATAATACAGGAGGAAAATGCAGGTACAAGGCAAGGCACTCTATTACTGAGAAACACCGGGAGGCCAGACAGGGGCCAGGCCACAGGTAAGTGGTGCGAGCGTCAAGATTAGTATGATTCTATGAGTAACTTCTGTGTAAGAATTCTTACAGATTCTTGAAGTGTTACCTGAAACTAATGTAGTTTTGTAATAAAGAAAATAAAAAGAATTCTTACAGCTTCTTTAAGAATTGAATTAGTCCCAGAGTCTCACACCACCACGTCCCCAAACCCCAACTTACTGATGGAGTTTAACTGGCCATAGGACAAAATTATTAGAAACTAAAACATGTCATTACATCATTATTTAATAAAAAAACGTTTATTTTAAAAATTTTAATTATTTATTTTTGAAAACATATTAATACCAGTTACTGCTTCCTTTCATTACACATAACACTTCAGCTGCATTGTAACTATTAAAAGCTTTAAGCTTTAGCCTG